TCTGTCTGTCTGTCTTTCTTTCTTTCTTTCTTTCTTTCTTTCTTTCTTTCTTTCTTTCTTTCTTTCTTTCTTTCTTTCTTTCTTTCTTTTGCTGTTCATACAAATAAAAGATAGTGAGAGGCATAGACCTAAAGTAAACTTAACAATCTGGAAGTATCCTTCAACAAATAATACAACAACAAACATTTTTAAGCAGCAAAAGTCTGGTTTCCTCATCAAGGTACTGTGCTGCTGATGGACACAGGTCTTCAGTTGATGATGAAGGTGGGGAAAGTGATACTGAATTATTTAAACACACACATAAATAAAAATATCTGTGTACTGCACACTTACTTTCAAGTGTTACTAGGTGGGCATGCCCAAACTGAAGGAAATATACTTACCAACAAATAAAATGGTTTCCTGAAGCAGGACCTGGAACAAGGGGGGGGGGTTCTCCACTAACCTGAGCCCAATGAAGCCCCCCCCATCCCCCTTTAACAGAAGTGGAGCCTTTCTTCCCTTTCAAGGAAGTCCCATTTCCCAAAATGTCCCAATTAATGTAATTTTAAGAGGTGACATCAAGGGCTTCTCTCTATATTTTGGTTGGAAGAGGAAAGAAACCACAAGAATATTGACACACAAATCCTCATAGCCTTTCCCCCCTCCAAACAGTTGAAAAGAACAGCTTTGTGTGTCCCCAGAAGTTGCAGTCGGACTTTATTTTATTTATTAAGTTATTCAAAGTATTTTAAGTTCCCTTTCTCCTAAAAAAACACACACAAGATGACTTACATAATTTTAAGACAATATTTGAATGCTAAACAATGAAGTATGAAAATAGTTTAAAAGGTTAAACACATATTAGATTAAAACAGTAAATAAAATAATTCTAAAAACACATTTAAAGGCAACAAGGCACAACAATCCATTCAGAAGACCCCTGAAGACACCCAGTCATTAAAGGAAAGTCTGCCTTTAAAAAAGGTCCTAAGAATACTCCTTACTTAATGCTTCCGAAGTAACCAGACTGAGCCCCTGTTTTTGACTAGCTACAGTAGATTACCACAAGGGTTTTTAATGCAAGCAGCTACCACCCCTAAAGTGAACATTCCTCCCACGGGCCAGGCAGCTGTCCCAGAGGTGCTGTGTTTTGGAGGGCCCTGGTGTTTCATGGGGCCCCTGCTTGTGTTCCTGTCAGATGCTCTGCTTGGCCATTGCCCTTGGAGGTTTCTTCATGCACTGATGGGGGAGACACGTTTGGCCATTCAGGGAGTAGAATAACACAAGTTCCAGAGTAC